CAGATCTCTAAGTTGAAAATGTTGTTTTATATTAAAATGGTTGAAAGCTGGTTTAGTGCCGAGCTGAGCGATTATGAAACAGGATCAATAAAGGAAAACCAGAGAATCATGAGGGAAAAGTCTTATTTAATCTCAGCTCAACTGTGTAAATTTACATACTGACTTTTGGAGCTGAGCCTGATATTTTAAGCTTCTCTTTAAGCCCTAAACCTCTGAGACACGGTACCCAGTCCAGATGGAGAATGAGCCTGTGGTGCTGGTTGTTGGGTTTATGTCAGTCTGAGCTCTTATTAATGTGTAAGTGATCTTGCTGCTGTTATAAATGCGCTCATAGTGGTGACGTGCCATTGTGGTGCTATAGGCCGTGCTTAACTTGCTGTGATATCAGTGACCCCCCAGTTAAGGTAGCCAGGAAGGGGCCCACCAAACAGTTGTGCCCAGGGACCTGCAGCCCAGCCCCTTCACCTCCTCGTAACTACAATCACTGTCCACTGTATCAGCTCCACTGACCAGATAGTTCCACTCTGTAGTTCTACAGTTACAGACTGTAGTCCATCAGTTTCTCTGCACCCTGTTCTTCAGTGGTCAGGACCCCCATGGACCCTCACAGAGCAGGTACTATTTGGGTGGTGGGTCATTCTCAGCACTGCAGTAACACTGACGTGGTGGTGGTGTGTTAGTGTGTGTTGTGCTGGTCTGAGTGGATCAGACACAGCAGTGCTGCTGGAGTTTTTAAACACCTCAGTGTCGCTGCTGGACTGAGAATAGTCCACCAACCAAAAATATCCAGCCAACAGCGTCCTGTGAGCAGCGTCCTGTGACCACTGATGAAGGACTAGAGGATGACCAACACAAACTGTGCAGCAGCAGATGAGCTATCGTCTCTGACTTTACATCTACAAGGTGGACTGAATGGGTAGGAGTGTCTAATAGAGTGGGCAGTGAGTGGACACAGTGTTTAAAACTCCAGCAGCACTGCTGTGTCTGATCCGCAGATTAAACGAGGCTGTATGTGTAAACTATCTCGATCACATGCCTTCCTGTAGCAGTCGGTACTTCTTCTTTCACACACGCACATCAGGCCTGGTGTCTGAGACGCTGTCAGTCGGTGTGGACAATCAAACGTTGATGCTCAAACGCTGGAATGGAGGATCTCAAACAGCTCAGATGCTGGAGGTTTTATAAAAACTGGTTATATATAAAATCATACAGAGGAACTGGAATCTGCAGTGCGTACAGTGGGAGTGAACCAACACCCTGACTCAGCGTCTTTATATAAACACGGTAATGTTTTTATCAACATTGTCATTTTCACACCTTCATCTATTGTAAAAACACTCATGCATTCATGGCTTTTATGCACGTGTTTATATTTTCATGCCTGGATGATGAGTGTAAACGTGTCCTATAGCAGTGCGCAGGCTAGCTCCCTCTGTGGGCACTGCACACCACACTCCTATGGTCAAATGCTGTTACCATGGCAACAAAATAAAAGGCCGCCTCCCCAAAGTAACACTTTCCTCAAACGTTTTCTATTTATTATACCATTTTCATGAAATCAGGTGCAGCTCACAATTCAGTTAAATTCACTATTTCATTTCATTATTATATTCAGGGCTAATGCCTGAATTAGGAGAGCCAACATTGTTTATGTAGCACTAGCAGTGATGCAGTTAGCACTAGCAGTGACACAGTTAGCACTAGCAGTGATGCAGTTAGCACTATCAGTAATGCAGTTAGCACTAGCAGTGACAGCACTAGCAGTGACACAGTTAGCACTAGCAGTGACGCAGTTAGCACTAGCAGTGACAGCACTAGCAGTGATGCAGTTAGCACTAGCAGTGACGCAGTTAGCACTAGCAGTGACGCAGTTAGCACTAGCAGTGATGCAGTTACCACTAGCAGTGACAGCACTAGCAGTGATGCAGTTAGCACTAGCGGTGACGCAGTTAGCACTAGTAGTGATGCAGTTAGCACTAGCAGTGATGCAGTTAGCACTAGCAGTGACAGCACTGGCAGTGATGCGGTTAGCACTTGCAGTGATGCAGTCAGCACTGGCAGTGACGCAGTTAACACTAGCAGTGATGCAGTTAGCACTAGCAGTGACGCAGTTAACACTAGTAGTGACAGCACTAGCAGTGACAGTTAGCACTAGCAGTGATGCAGTTAGCACTACCAGTGACAGCACTAGCAGTGATGCAGTTAGCACTACCAGTGACAGCACTAGCAGTGATGCAGTTAGCACTACCAGTGACAGCACTAGCAGTGACACAGTTAGCACATTTTTTGTTTAGGTTTTATTTATGTTTAGATTTTCTCCTGTTTTTCAGCTCCAGATTTGTTGACTCTTTCTTCTGAGAGATGAATAACCTGACCTCTCACTCCAGCGCACAGCGTTATGGTGCAGTAATAATCCAGCGGTTGTTAGAGGGCCCCCTGGTGGCCGCGGGGCTCTGAGCAGCTGCTCTGAAGAGAAGAACAGAGTCTATCAGTCTGCAGTTCCTCTGCTGAGACACGCTGGACGATCTAAGTTCCAGTGCAGTTCTATAAGACAGGGTTTCTCCACAAGTGGGCCGTGAAGCTCTCTGTGGTGGTCCTCGGGTCAGTACTGAGGAGCCGGGTGGTCTGGAGTGGTCCGCCGGCGACACTTTCTCATAAAAATCAAGGAAGAACTAATTGACGATAATTGAATAGTTGACATAAATACATTTTGGAAATATTAAATATTTTCAAACGGTTAACAGTGTTAATAGAAGCCCTGCAGCGACGCTGACCTTCACCTCTACAGCTGAAATACACTGACACAAACGTCCACTTTCAGACTGAGAGGTCAGCTTCGCTTGTCTGATGAGACACATCACACATAATGGCACACAGACAACTGTTTATAATAGACAGACAGACAGACAGACAGATAGTGATATAGAAAAATAGACAGTCAGATGGAGTGATTTATAGACAGACAGACAACGATATAAACAGACAGAAAGACATATAGACAGACAGACATATGCATACACAGATAGAGTGATATATAGACAGACAGACAGGCAGACAGATATATAGATAGATAGATAGATAGATAGACAGACAGACAGACAGACACAGATAAATATAAAGAAGGCCTGTTTGTTTTTATGAGCGCGTGTTCCTCCCTCTTCCGTGAGGCGGCGCTGTGCTGTGCAGCGTGCAGTGTGCAGTGTGCCGTGTGCGCATGCGCTGTGCTGTGTTTGCGGAAGTGGGCGCTGGGCGGTTGGAGGGAGGTTTAAACTGCGGATGATGAAGATTAAACAGTGAAAAACGGACGGAATCTCCGCACAGGAGCGCCTTATGAAGCGTCATAACGCAGCGGAGACCAGTCGGTGAGAACGGTACAGAGCGCGAGGCTAAGGTCGGCTTCTCAGGAGACGATTCGGCTCCACCTTAAACGGCGCTCCGCTGCTGCAGCACTTAAGGTGGACCGGGGCATTCGAATAAGAATCTCGATGGAGCTTCGCTGTGACTCTAAGATAGATGAGATGAGATAAGATAGGCCTGTATTAGTGCCACAGCGGGGACATTCACAGCGCTACAACACAGAGAAGACCACAGGCACAGAGAGGATTAAGCTCCATATTAACCTTTATTCATTTATTAACAAGGTACAGTTACTTATTACCATATATACAATATATATAAAACGAATATAAATACACTAAACATACATTAAAAATACAAATAAACTCTAACAAAAATTAACAGTATAAAACTGTTAATAAAGGTCAAATACTCTTATAATCATCTTTTAATGTACATAGTCATTGTTATGATGTGTAGTGTACACTTCAGTGTATCATAATTATGACTAAGCATCACATAATGTTGATTTAATATCTCATATGATTTATTTGATCATAATCAAGCATCTCAGATTTATGACTTACCGTATCATTATTATGACTTGTTTTCTCATAATTATGACTTGGCATCTGGATATTATGACTTAGTGTCATAATAATGAGATTCTGTCTCATAATTTTGATATGATATTTCATGATTATTATAATCTCATGATCTTAGCATCTCATAAAAATGACTATCTGAATTATGACTTAGCATCTCAAAATTGACTTTGCACCTCAAATTATGACTCGGTAAGTCATCACAAATTGCTATGCGATAGCTGTCATATATTACCATTAGGTTGGTCTGTCATTGTTATGAGATATTAAGTCATGATTATGGGAAGCTTTCTCATTATTTTGAGACACTAAGTCAGAGGTTCCCCACCCTGGTCCTGAAGGGACCCCCAGTCCTGCACACCTCTGTGTTTTCCTGCCAAAACACACCACTTCAACTCCGGAAGAGCTGGTTAAGGAGTGGATCGGTGAAAAAGTGAATATCATGTAAAAGAGCAGGAGAGGAACTACTTTTCCTTCTGCTTCTCACTCACAGACAGACAGACAGACAGACAGACAGGATGCTCTGTATTAGCAGGTCCGTTGGAGTCGCTTCCCTAAACAGACAGTTTATATGTCAGTTTATTTAATAATAATGCAACACGTCTAAATTTACTCTGTTAACACTTTCATTACTGGTTTTCACTGAAGAATTCACAAAGAATCAGTGTCAGTATTGGTATCAGGATATTAGCCTTGGCATTATTTGGTATCGGCTTGAAAAGAAAATCAGCTTCATCGCCCATCCCTGACAGAAGAGCCGCAGCTTTACAAACAGTAATACGACCCATATTCAAAACACAGAGTGATCCAAAAAGATTCATCCGATTTCAAAATGATTGATTTCTCTTGTAAATCGTTACAGATCAATGCAGTGAACTGTAAATGGTTTAAATGAGCATAAAGTTTATTATGTAATTGTACAAGGTCTCAGTATGAACCTCCTCCAGCTGTACAGACAACATCAACGCCATAGTCAAACTCATCCCATACTGGATTGAGCGTGTCGGGTGTCGCTGCACTCACGGCTCTTTCAGTGCGATTTCGGAGACCATCCAGTGTTGTGGAACCAACGCCGAACGCTCTGAGCTGTTGGAGCTTCACTGTCCAGTCAGAAACTCTATGACCCCCTCTTTCAGTTGGATTGTGATTGGTTCCTAGGCACCTCACGGTTGTAAAAATATGGCGCTTTGAGATCGGATTAATCTCTTTGAATCACCCAGTATTGTAGTAAAACAGTGAAGTGAGAAGTAATTTCTCTCCGTCTTCTGTAGATTCTGGTTTGGACGCTGCCCCCTAGTGATCACGTTCATGTTATATTTGAGTATGTTGGCAGCACAACGTTCACACAGGTTCAGCGATACGCACCCACAGCTATTCCAGAGCGTGTCCCCGGAGGTGAGCTGCTCAGACACAAGAGGACCATCTGAGAAAAGCTCTCCATTCACTTCCATTCATTTTGGGCTGATTTCAGCACAAAGGTTAAGGCACATCTGAGCCGTTTTAGATCATCTCATTGGCCCCGGAAGCTGTAAATAAAATTCCTAATGTGGTGAAAGCGCACTGAGTGGTGCTGAATGGTTGTGATGGTTTATAATCCTTCAAAACATTCACAGTTTTTGCTGGGCAGCTCCTACAGACAGCTCAGCTATTTGAACTGCACCCTTCAGATTTGCGTCATTAGGGCACCTGCACTTTCTCACACGTTCCCACCGTCCACCGCACGAGAAATCGATCAGGAAGTGACCCGATTAGCCTCACCTCGTCCCCACTGAAACAGCAGGATGACCGGTCCAGTTTATATATACTGTCAGTGACACACAGAGAAGGTTAATTCAGCTTTAAGCTGACGCTCTCAGTGAAAACAGACAAAGACAAGAAATCAGTTTCAGTGTAAGCTGCAGAAATCAGACACGCGTAATTCAGATACATTAAAAGCCCTTATAAGAAGCCCTAATGAAGCCCCTCAAAGCTGGTTTATAGCAAAATATAACGTGTTCATTTTCATCACCTATTTATTCGTCTCTCAGGATAAACAGGTCTCTGTGTGTTTCACTCTCTCAGGTGAAGCACCATCTGTTCGTGTGTCCAGCAGGTGATGACCATGCAGAGTGCACTGTTTGGGGAGACAGTGATGCAGATCACCACGCCCCCTCTCCCTTTAAGCCCCGCCCCTCTTCCACCCCAGTGCCCAGAGCTCGACCTGTCGGTCACATTCAGCCCGGAACGCCCCGAACGTTCGGTGGCTTCAAAAGGAGTTCTGAAGAAAGGGCGCACACACACACGACCACGACAGGTGATGATGGTGATTATGATGTCATAGACGATAATAGTGAAGGTGGTGATGAAGATGATGATCTTGGTGGTGATGGTGGTGATGAAGATGGTGACCGTAGTGGTGATGGTGGTGATGGTCATGGTGAGGAAGATGATTGTAGTGGTGATGGTGGTGATGAAGATGTTGATCATAGAGGTGATGATTATAGTGGTGATCTAGGAATGGTGGTGGTGATGGTCATGGTGGTGGTGGTGATAATTGTGGTGATGGTAATGGCAATGATGATTGTAGCAGAGATGGTTTTGATGGTGGTCATGGTGATGTTGATGAATGTAGAGGTGGTGATGATGGAGATGATTATCATGGTGGCAGTGATGATGATGTATACCTGTTCAGGTGCTCTTCGATGTGCTGTTTTCAGTTGTGATGATTGTAGTGAAGATGATAATGGTGATGATGATGATTGTAGTGGTAATTATAATAGTGGTGATGATTGTAATGGTGGTGCTAATGACGATGATGAATATAGCGGTGATGATAATGGCAATGATGATTGTAGGGGTGATTATGATAGTGATGATGCTAATGGTGATGATTGTAGCGGTGATGGTTTTGATGATGGTCATGATGATGATGATGATTGTAGTGGTGATTATGATAGTGATGATGCTAATGGTGATGATTGAATGTAGTGGTGATTATGATAGTGATGATGCTAATAGTGATGATGATTCTAGCGGTGGTGGTTTTGATGATGGTCATGATGCTGAATGTAGTGGTGATTATAATAGTGATGATGATGCTAATGGTGATGATTGTAGCGGTGATGGTTTTGATGATGGTCATGATGATGATGATTGTAGTGGTGATTATGATAGTGATGATGCTAATAGTGATGATGATTGTAGCGGTGGTGGTTTTGATGATGGTCATGATGATGAATGTAGTGGTGATTATAATAGTGATGATGATGCTAATGGTGATGATTGTAGTGGTGATTATAATAGTGATGATGATGCTAATGGTGATGATTGTAGCGGTGATGGTTTTGATGATGGTCATGATGATGATGATGATTGTAGTGGTGATTATGATAGTGATGATGATGCTAATAGCTGATGATTGTAGCGGTGGTGGTTTTGATGATGGTCATGATGATGAATGTAGTGATTATAATAGTGATGATGATGCTAATGGTGATGATTGTAGCGGTGATGGTTTTGATGATGGTCATGATGATGATGATTGTAGCGGTGATGGTTTTGATGATGGTCATGATGATGATGATGATTGTAGCGGTGATGGTTTTGATGATGGTCATGATGATGATTGTAGTGGTAATGCTAATAGTGATGATGCTAATGGTGATGATGATTGTAGCGGTGATGGTTTTGATGATGGTCATGATGATGATGATGATTGTAGCGGTGATGGTTTTGATGATGGTCATGATGATGATGATGATGATTGTAGCGGTGATGGTTTTGATGATGGTCATGATGATGATGATTGTAGTGGTGATTATGATAGTGATGATGATGGTAGCGGTGATGGTCATGATGATGAATGTAGTGGTGATGGCAGTGATGATGATGTGTATCTGTTCAGATGTGTTTTGTGTTGATGTTATGATGCCTGAATGTGTTGTTTTTAGTTGTGATGGTGATGAAGATGGTAATGGTGATGATGTTTCGTACCTCCACAGGTGCGCTTTGATGTGAGCCCAGACTCCCGTGCTAAACTCCCCGGACCCCACAGAGCGCGCTCAGCAGAACAGCATGCTGTCACCACGTCAGCTCCACAGCCCTGCAGCAGCCAATCAGCTGCTGAGAAACCTCAGAGTGAGGGAAAACAGGGTGAGGAGGTTTGAGACTCTGTAGAGCCCACAGCAGCCTGCGTCCTCCTGACCGCTCTCTTTAGGTCAGCTGCTTGTGTTCATGTGCTCGCCTGTGTTTCAGGTCCACACACAAATGGAAGGCGTGGCCATCTCCTTTCCGACATTTCAGCTCAGACTGACGGACAGCTGGAGGACGGGGCGGAGCTTAACACCACTCTGGCTTTGAGGGCAGAACTACAGCAGCTGAAGGAGGCGGAGTTTGACTCCCAGAAGGCCGTGCAGGAGAAACTGCAGAACTCTACAGTCACTCAGGAGTACATCAGAGCCAAAGCAACAGAAGGTAAAGGTCAAAGGTCACGGATGCATCTCTATTGATCAGAAAAGCCATTTTGACACTGCATTAGATTTTAATCCAGTATGAATCTGCAGTGTGTGTAGTTTTACAGTCTGACTGTAATAATTGTGGAGCAATTTTAATCCCTCCCTCCCTCTCTCTCCCTCTCTCTCT